TATAGTATATTATAGTATATTATATTATATTAGGGTGCAGGTAGGCTCGAGCGCTGATCAAGCAACTTTAGGTTCCGCTTCGGCTTTTTCTGTATGGGTCATCTGCGATGGATGATACAGCTGCTGCGATTGGAAAAGTCGTAGGTCCTATGAGTGGATGATTGCCTTGCGGGAGTGTCGGGCTGGCTTGTGCTGTTGAAGATTGCGGATGTACAGTTCTGGGGCGTGTGAGTTTCAGGATGCGATGTAGATGGTGGGCACGGCTGTGCTCACGAAAACCGCTACAGCGCTGAGCAGAGAAAGCAGATCCCAGGGTTGGCACGGAATCTCTGTTTTGCAATTGCCGCGGGTTTGATGGCTTGGAGGTGGGGTCGCGCGCAACCTGCGCACATCAGAACTTCCCAGCAACAATGAACCTTTCGGATCTGAGGAACTCACATGTTCATTTCGAGTGACCATGCGTGTGTGTGTGTATGAATATATATATATATATGTATGAGGTCATGTCAGATCTATCAGTTCACAGTGATATCAAGATTTGTTCAGGCGGTCTCAGCCGAGCCCTGCCGCCCGACACGCTCCAATTCCGTGAGTCGGCCTACCTTCGATCCTCGGTGGCAAGGGAAAGGGTTTAGGGCTTAGGGTGCTCGAAAACAGAACCTGCACTGCCCGAGTGCGAGAGTCCAAACGCTTTAAAACCAGAAAACCTCAAAGCCCCAAAGCACAAAAGCGTGCGGAAACGGTCCTGCACAGTGCATAGGCCAAAAGCCCCAGCTAACCTAGTGCCGCTCCGTTGTCAACCTCGAGGGGACAGTCTTCGAATCGGAGGTCGTGCTGGCAACCTTAAACCCTAAACCCTGAACCTTAAACCCTAAACCCTAAACCCGAAGACTTGCAAGCTCAGTATTTGACCCAAAAACCCCATGGAAGGAGAAGGCGTCCGCAGACTGGAGCCGCTCCTGCACCTTGTCTTGGTTCAAGTAGGACCCGGTTTCGCTCCCAGGTCTTGTCTTAAAACCCATGTGGTCTGGGTCTCTTTGAATTCTGAATATAGATCTCATAATATGAGATAGGGGTTTTGTTGATGCTGTAAGGTCAGCTGCGAGAGCTGGCTCCTCACCCGACATGTTGTGCTGAATTAAGTTTGGAGCTCCGGCTGCAAGAACCTCCATGGCTCCAGCAGACACTGCTGGTGGAGCCTTTGCCGGCAAATGTGTTTTGCTGTTTCTCACCGTCTTTGGTGCATTTTGATTTAATGCTTTTCGGTATCACGTCAGAAATTGAAGGACTTGGACAAAGCCAAACCAGAGCTCTAGGGTTTGGGGCCTCAATCCGAGAACCATGAGTCTGTGAACCTCCGCTGTCGAGCGGCGATGTTTGAATCTTGAAGCACTTGTGGGTCCATGGACCAGGCTGGTGATTCGGATGCTGTGTTGCCATCCATGGCCGAGACGGAGAGGTTGCTCAAGTTGATGCCAGGCACCTTTTCAGCTCGCAGAGTTTAGGATTTCATGTCAAAGTTAACGGGTTCACCCAAAGCCCCAAACACAAGTTGCCCCCCCCCCCGAAAATCCGTACATGCTGTCTGCAGGATCTGAAGCTGCTCGTGTGGCTGCCTCCCCACTAGTAAAACATATAGTTTTGATTTCATAGCATATGATACATGATATACAAGATACAGTGTGCAATCTATAGAGTCATATACATTTAAACATACCGTTAAATACACGTTAACATGGATAGTATGATCTCGACGATGCCTGATTCACACTCGTTGTTGCAAGCCGAAATGGCCTTTGAGTCGAGCCAGTCTGCTCAGCTTCTATTCTAGTCCAAAGGGTGCCTGCACAGTACTATTATGATTCCATTAGTATTATTCTTAATTCTTAATTCGTCATGGGTGGAGAATGAAACCTCATGACCGACTCAAACTTGGCATTTTGCCAACACGTGTCAGTGCCTTGATTAAGGGGCTAGGCCCTTTGAACTGTGACCCTACTAAATATGTGGAGTGCATGCAGCAGGCATACAGTAAGCCTGTTCTGAATTTGCCAGTGTGACCTTTGTACCCTACCTCGCGACTCGCTCAGCCATGTAGGAGGCAAAAATTGTTATTACCATTCCTATTACTATTACTGTTGCTATTGCTATTGCTATTAATATGATTACTAGATACAATACCAATATTTTGGTTTCAATCTTGCACCCACAGAGCCGAGGTGCCCAGCGCAAGGTCATCCCTGGTGGGGCGCATGCATGCTTCGATGATGTGACCAGCGTGAATCTGCTATCGCTGTTGACAGATGCTGGCATCGTCCAGTCTTTGACAGAGGCAGATACGCTCAGCTGTCTCTTTTGTTGGGCTGCGTGGAACGGTCGGGGGTGTCTCCCGGCGACGGGCAGCGTTGAGAAGTCTGGATGATGTGGTTTCTGTTGTCACCATTTTGCATTAATTTGGGGACATTGATTGTCCCCTGGCGCTTGATGCAAGAGAAGACTACAGTGGATACCTTACGACTGTACGTCCCTACCCCCCGGCATTGCCAAGCCCGCCCTGCCACCCACAAATGCCGTTTTGTGCATGGCCGACGCATGGCAACAATGCGAACTCCCCAAATCGTAGTCGACAACGACCAAGTTGGCTTGTCAAGCATACGACACCCAAGGCTGGGAACACCCCAGAGAAGCGGTCGCCCACAGGGTTTAAGCCAATTTGATACGAATTTTGGCAGCTACTGCAGCAAAACAAAGAACCCAGAGATTTGAGGCTGTCTTTAGCACTTTAGGCAAGCCCTGAAATCTGAATCCCAAGCCCGATGCTCAAGCTTAGGGCTACGCAAGTGGTGGCCTCGGTTCATCTGAAAGTGTTGAGCCCTGAATTTTGGCTCAAGCTCAAGCAGGGCCCCAATAACCGTATCGTTGTATTCATACTCGAACCATGCTCGCTCCAGTTCGCAAGCTGCTCGCCTTGTGCGCCGTGTTCTGTGGCTGCGGAGCTCAGGCCGACGAAGAAGAATTCCTATCCCTCCTCCAGGTTGCAAGCAAACTGTACTCGTATCCGCGAGACTGCTCTGCACTGGTGGGGGACGACTGTAGCTTCAAAACGGAAGCCGGAGCCCATTTCAATTGCACGGTTGAGCACGCCTCCCGTCTCATGTATGCAACCTGGGTGCGCCCTGGAGCTTCCGTCCTCCACGTTGGGGCGCGCTACGGCCAGACCTCGTGCCTGCTGTCAAAGGTGCTCACGGCAGAGAACTCCAGGCTTTTCTCTGTGGAGGCGGACCCCAATGTGTGGGATGTCCTGGAAGCAAACCTGGCGGAGCACCACTGCCGGAGCGAGGTGGTGCGCGGTGTGGTTGGGCCTCGCAGCCTCAAAGTCATCACACCCGACTACGCAAAAAGTGCCATCCACGGCTACGGGAACATGGCCGTGGACATCGATGACCCGCGGTCGGGAGTCATCTCGCCGGCCCATACGATTGAGTCGCTCGGCACAGGCTTTGACACTCTGGCGATCGACTGCCAAGGTTGCTTTGCCACCTTCCTGGATGATAACCCCACGTTGCGGCAGACGCTCTCCACGATCATCGTAGAGGTTCACCAGTGGTCGTCGGAGCCGAGTACTGTGCAAAAGCTGCTTCAAGAAGGTTGGGAGTTGAAGCAACGAGTGTTGCGTCAGCACGTGCTGTGCAAGGGGCCGTGTGCCAGTCAGTGCGATCCGCACTGGTCTGATCAGCACGCCCGCCAGTACTACGGAAAGGACTTTTGGTTATATGGACCCAAACTAGCACCCTCTGATTCCACATAGCAACGTCTCTTTCATTCTTCCCATACCTCCACCAAGTATGTCGATGGGGGCCCCACAGACAGACCTCGCCGGCTGCGCCCAGCCGCGCCGCGGCAGATAGCCTTTCTCTTCGCATGGGAGTAATGCCCATGATCCGATCCGCCTTGTGGAGAAAAAACAGGAGTTGTGAGGTCATGGCCGCTTTGAGAAGATGCTTTCATAATCAATATGATCTGCATGTCAATGCGAATGAGTTCTGAGTGGAGCAGGATAGCGAATTTGGGACGAATCTGCATGTTCAGTGGGTCCTGTAGCTTGTCGTGGAGACCCTTTTGAAACAGCAGCGGCCTTGTCGAATCAGGGGCTAGGTTGACTAGATCGTAGTAAAGCAAGAGGAGCAAAGCAACGTCTCCGATGGACAGCTCAGCAACCTTACATCCTGCACAGCTCTTGACCTGTTTATCTTTATGCACTTGTTCAGTTCAGCTACTGTTGGGTAAGATGGCTGAGTTGCCTGCTTGCGTGACGGGATTATGTGGAGCCTTGCCTGCCTTGTGTGAGAGTGAGAGTCGAAATCGGGCATGTCCGAATGTGAGCGCCGAAACCGGATGCCTCGCCGCCTGGAGAGTCCAAGTTGGGGCGCCGAAGCTCTACCGTAAGCCCTCCACCTATATCGACAATATTTTTTTAAAATATATATATATATATATTTATAGCTGATACCAAAGAAAGTAAAAACAATTATCAACAACAAATATTACACCAACTCAGGCATAGACCCCCTCCTCTTCCCTGTATCCCTTGGGTTCCTTTGCAGGCTGCCCCAGAGGAGATGAGTCTCGTGCCAGAGAGCTGGTTGGATGCCTCACTTATGCAGGCAGTCGAGGGGTGTAGGGCTTTGGGTTTTGCAAGGGTTTAGGGGTTTGGGGTTTTGGGCCTTCAGGGCTTAGTGCATTGCAGTCCCTGCTCAAAAAAAGGGTTCAGGGCCTTAAGTTTCGGTTTGAGGTTTTGGGTCTTCGGCTGGCGCCAGAGGCTTGGATGCGAAAGAGGGTTTCGACAATCTAGCAGAGCCTGAAGGATGCCAAGGGTAGAGAGCATTTTGAATCTGCTTGATCTGCTTGACCTACGATACTCTAAACCCTAAACCCTAAACCCTGCCAAAAAACCCAAAACCCTAAACCCTAAAGCTAGGGGACCTTGTGTTTTGTTCGACAGTATGTGCAGTTGTTTCACTTTGAAGCTCGCCCGTCATATACCTCGCCTGGATTGTCCGAGTGTGAGAGCCGAAACCCTAAACCCTCATTGACTTATGCTGTGGCAGGCGAGGACATGGGTGTCTCCGGTGTTCCTCTCCGTGCTCCCTGGGGGCCAGATTGTTCGAGGCACGTTCGCGGGAGCACTTACCGAGGAGTCCCGCCTGGTGCGTGTGTCATGTAGAGTCATTTAGAGGTCTTATATAGTAATTACCTATATTATATTTTCGGGGCTCCTTATTCTGATTATTGTATAATACCCCAAAACTTTATTCTAATAATTAAGGCCCCTGTAGCATTATGTTTCGTTGAGCGACGCTGCAAGCCATCAAGATCGTTCACAATCGGCAATGGTCTCCAAGAAATGGAAACAGCTTCCCACCCTCTGGAAAGGGCTCCCGCAACTGGCGCCAGCGGCCCTGCAAGAAAACCCGATCCTTTTCGTCGGGAATCACCAGCTGCACCTCGGCTCGCAGGGTCAGGAACAGGAAACTCAAGCTTCAAAGCCCCACACTTTATCTCTTTGGTCGTGAGTTCGGGGCCGATGCTAAAGGGTCCACTGTTCGGTGCTGGCTGCAGGTGAACGGAGGCTTGCATGACACATTTGAACTTCCATGTGACGTCCTTTTGTGTCCTGCGCCTGACAGCTGGAAAACGAAAGGAGAGCAACTGACCCCGTGCAATAGCCAAAGACTGCGCAGTGCTTCATGGAAGGATTCTGGATCCACTCTGCAATTGCTAATGTCCCGTTGGCATTTTTGGCTTGGAAAGCCGTGCCTAAAGGCCAAAAGCAATTACATAATTGCACATCTTCTTGGTGTCACGAGTCAGTTTCGCGATTGTGCTGAGCAGAAACCTTGACACATGCACAGATACCAACCCTAGCCTAGGTTCGTTTAGGGATTCATGGGTTCCCGAATGTCCGAGTTTCATGATGGGGTTGACTCGTCAAGGCAAGCATGCCAGCTCAGGTTCAGTTTAGATGGTATCTTCCTCGTGGACGAGTTCCTCCGAGAGCAGCGGCGGTTGCTCGGTTACCGAAGCTGATGGAGAGAGGTGTCAGCATGTTGCACTGTTCACGATGCCTCCGTTTGTAGGCTGCAGCTGTAAGGGCTAGGGCCGAGGGCGTCTTCTGGTGTTGGATCTTGCCGCTGGCCCTGGAGCCAAGACAGAGAAAGAACACCCGAACCCTCATTGCCTGGAGGCTCAAGACTCAAGACTCTAAACCCCAAACCCTGAGAGCGTAAACCCCAAACTCTAAACTCTGAGAGTCTAAACCCTAAACCAAAAGGAAGCTCACGAGTCGAAGTTTGGGAGAACCATAAACCGCCCTTGTCCCCAGGCTTGTGACCGCTATGGTGTACCCGCCTCTGCTGAATGCAGCTCGCATGCCAGTGTGGGCTGGGCTTTCATGCTTCTTGGGGTGCGGCATGTGTGCGGATGCAAAGTGTCTTTGATAAATGTTGTTGAAATAGTTGGGCATCGCTTCTTCTTGACGGCCCTGATGACACAAACTTCTCTGCGATGCCCAGACCCAAGACACTTTTTGAGATCCAGCCCACGAGAGCCCAAACTGGCTTGCTCCCATCTTTGACGTTGAGTGCTGCAAACGTTGCATACCCCACATGGGAGTTTCCGAAAATAAGGGTACCGGGTACCTTATTTTGGGGTCCTTATAATAAGGATCCTACTATTGAGGGTACTATATTAGGGTCCCCTATTTTCGGAAACCCCCAAAGTTCCAAAATCCAAGGCACCAAGTTCAACCTAGATCCGAAGCTCTTTGTCCCAATCCTTCGTTACCTAAAGGCCCACAGCCGAGAACCGACCATGCCAAGCGGAATTCCGCGAAGACCCTAAACCCTAAACCCTAAACCCTAAACCCAAAGTGCAAATCGTCGTGTACCAGGAACCTCGCCCAGGCATGTCCGAGAGTGAGTGCTGAAACCCTAAACCCTGTCAGCGAAGCGGGTGGGAAAAACCCTAGACCGCTCAGCCAGGAAGTTTCTCCACTCGCTCCGCTCCCCTATCCCTTCCCGGGCTCGCGGCAGCTGTTCGAGAAGTTCAAGGCGCCTGAAAGTGGGCAGTTTTTCTAAATTAGGGTCCCTTTTGGGGTCCTTTTTATATCTTTTTATAAGGGTGCCGCACTATATTGGGGATCTAACAAGGGACCCTAATTTAGAGAACTACCCAAGTGGAAAGGTTCGGAGCACGGGGCTTCTCAGTGGCTGAGATGAGAAACTTACGTGTCTGGGCCTTTGGCAGGCATCGGTAAACGTAGAGTCACTACGGCACTTTGGATACGATGCCAGAAATCCAGCAGAACCGGTCAAAGAGTATTGAGCCTGGATAGTGCAGTACATGCATCTTGCCGCGTGCTAGGCCGAAAGCTGTGCTTTACCTGTCTCAGCGGCACTACGTGTGGGTCAGCCACTGCTGCATCCCACCGTCCGCACGGGTATTCTTTGCACAGACAGATCTGGTCTAGATTTTAAGAGAGCAGCCGCCCCGGAGGTAATGCCCACGAGCGCCCGAAACTTGCTTCGTGCGCTGCGGCCCAACCGAACAGGCTGGGTTGGAAATGCCGAGGTGTGGTATACGGCAATAGGACAGATGCCGGACGCATATGGGCCTTCTTTCGGTGACCTGATACATGTCTGTTTCCGATTCGGTTGGGGGGAACATACACAGGCCGGGCAATGCAAAAGCCAGTCACAAGCAAAAGGCCACAGGTTTTGACCTTTTGGTGGCTGGCAGGCCCTCTGCTTAGGTCAGAAGGTTCCTCAATTCGTTCCCTTTTGACTTCTTGTCCCGGGGCAGCCCTGGGTCGTCACCATGTAAGATGCAGCCCACGGGGCATCAGCCAGAAGGCAAATGCAGAGAAACCATGTTGGTTTGGGCAAAGCAATTAACAGTAGGAGGTGGCTATATCAACGAACCAGCAATCGCATACGAAGAGCGTTAGCAGAAGCAAACAGCAGAAGGACTAGTGACTAGGAATAATAGTAACCCTTTGCCACAGACATGTATGTCTAGGTGCAGCAAGACCAAGAATCAAAGGAGCGTGGACGATGGAAGCGCAAACCTGAAACCCAACACTCCAACGAGAGATAGGCCCTCACATACACTACATATTATCGTTGTCATGGCTTTCATCGTAGTAGCAATAGCTTTTATTATGATAATGACCATGATTATTATTGGTCGTTTTCCGATTGCTATCACCTTCTTTTTCTTCCTGCAGCTTTTTCTCTTATGGGATTATGAGTCTGATTCGATTACTACTGCTGTTCTCTTACTAGTTGCTTTTAAGATCAATACTGGTTTTTGATATTAAGATCCATAAGGCAACACTGTTCTGAATGTTATGTCTTCTTCTCGTTGGAGACAGGCAATGTTGACGGACCAGGCGCCGGGGCGGCCTTGCTGTTCCCCGGGGGAGCCCGGGAGGTCTTCAAGCGCTACTCAATCTGAGACGAGGGTTTAAGGCTTAACCCTAAACCCTATGAATCCTCGCCTGGCTTGTCCGAGTTGTGAGTGTAAACCCTGCGAGTGTGTGTGTGTGTGTGTCGAAACCCTAAAGGTTCAGGTCCAGGGTTCAGAGTTGAGGGTTGCCATCTGGGGGTTTAGCGCGGAAGATCAGGAGTTTTGGGGTTGCGGGACGAGGGTTTATAGATGGGTTTGGGGGTTCGGGCGTGGGGTGGGGGTGGGGGTGGGGATGGGGGCGGCTAGCTGAGTTCCGCAAACCCACGTCGTTCGTTTGATACTTGAACTCAGTTGCTGGGCTTTTGGGAGAGTTTATGCTCGCGTCGCGATAGTGGGCTTCGGGTAAGCACGCGGCGCGACTGAGGCAAGACGTTCTGTTCACCTGTTAAATTGCGACCTGAGGTTCCGAGTGTCATAGCCATGGCCAGCCCTAAACCCAAACCCCTAAACCCTAAACCGAACCATATGCCTCGCCTGGATTGTCCGAGTGTGCCCTAAACTGCTGCAAGGAAAGGGAGAAGAGTATCAGCTCTTTTGGCCTCCCCAGCCTGAGTTCATTCGCATCGCTGCCAAAGCGACGCTCGCCTTCACCTTCTGTCTCAAAGGGTCTTGGTTTGGGGTTCTTTCCTTGTGGTGTGCCAAAAGGGTCTGGTAGACTCGTGCATCCCTATCTCAGGAACGCCACGATCATACCCTTCAGCGGCATTGGAAGTGATGAGCTTCTCGGCATCTCATTGAAGCAGTCCTAAGAGCAATTGGCGCGACAGTAGTGAAGGAGGATGCAAAACGGCTATCACCAGCTTGTTTTTTCCGGACAAGCCCTGCTGCCAACTTTGACGTCATCCCCCGAAGAGAATCTTTCACTCCCTGGAGAGATGTAAAAAGCTGGTGTGCAGTGTGCAAGTTAGGGAGCCCCGACTCATGATGCTGACCCTGTTTTAGGAAAGGCTTCTAGATCCTGAGTTGTCGATTTTTGAGATTCCGTAGACGAAAGTGCCACCCTTTGGTCTCGGAAGGTTCTTTGCCGGGACGGTGCTGGATTCGAGCGAGCTGCTGAACATGCCCGTGGTCGGTGACCGGGCGGACAGCCAGAGCTTCGATCGTTCGTAGGTCGAGATCGAAGGCTGCGTTTGTCACTGTCTCAAACTAAACTTAAGTTGCCGCGTTTCAGCGACAGGTTTGAGACTGATGTCATTGCGCTGGCAGAGTGCTGTTGCAGAATTGGCGGACGGCCGATCACGACCCCTTGTTTTCGTCTTGATGCCTTTGGGCCCTCTCATGGGTTCCGGGTGGCATAGCAGCATCGTGCTCAAAAGTGTCTTGGTTGTATCTGCTAAGAACAGCCCCTGATTGTGGTTGCTTTGATGCCCCATTTGCTGATTGATTTTCATTGTGGCCCCGGACGTCCTGCTGAGTCCGCGAACCCTAAACTCTAAACCCCTAACCCCTAAACCCTAAACCCTAAAGCGTGACTGGAAGTGTGTTTGTCCTTACGTTGCTTGCTTGTGACATCACTACGAACCGTGGGGCCGCACCTACAGAGAAAAGCATCTCGCCCTAGCAGGCTTCAGCAACACTTGTGCTGCCGGAGATTCCGCACAACCTTAGATCCCTATTATAACCTGAATCTGAAATCTCTCGTCGACTCATCCACTAAAGCCCACTCTAAAGCCCCCTTCAACGCCACGCGTGATACATACAGCCCTCAAGTTCAGCCCTAAAGCCTGTCAGCAAGGCGACTGGCTCCGTGATCGAACACAAGATCTCCCCAGCTTCGTGGAGGCCACTTTTGTGGGACTCTTTCCGATGAGTTTCAATGGTCTTCGGGTTTAGGCTTTAGGGGGGCTTCTGAAGGCTTGTTACAAGGGCTAAAAGTGCCTTATGTATGGCTTGGCTAAACCGTGAAATTGATGTGTGGTTCAGTCGAGAGGGGTGTTTGTGTGGGTATGTTGGTTAGTTCAGTTCAGTTCCAACCTGGACCATCCGTGCATACAACAGGCGCCTACATCTATGTCTGCCTATGCATACTCGCATTCACAAACCGGTGCCTTCTGATGTATACAGGCACACATGCACAAATGCATACAGAGACACCTTAGTGCATGCATACACACAGACATACACACATGCACACATACACACATACACACATGCATACATACATACATACATACATACATACATACATACATACATACATACATACATACACACATGCATGCATGCATCCATACATCCATCCATCCATCCATCCATCCAT